CAGGAGGGCACAGAGGCACGAAAGCCAGGCTTTAGGAGCAGACAGGCAGAGGGAGGGGGAATGTTTATTGATTTTAGTCACACACATATTGTAAAGAGGAACTGTGGTACAAGCCTTTAGCACGCTATGGGAATCTTATGGGGAGGGGGGGTTGGTGGGTGTGTTTTTGTTCAGTTCCCCACCTTGAGTTTCTTGATATGAACCACGATGATCTCATACACATACATGCTGAGCTGCAGAAAATTTGGGAGTTGTTTCGGATTTAACGATTAAATAGAACAGGAAAGAACATCTACTGTTATATTGTTTAAGTTTTTATTTTTAATGCACAAAGGCTCATTTGTGCAACAATGTGTGACCTCTGACTCCTCCATTGTTTGATTATCCTGAATGTGAAAGTGAACCAACTTGAACACATTCCTGCACAGGCCACGGAGCTGTCCAAGTATACATCCTGCTGACCGGATGTTGTCTACAAGAAATGCTGTTTTAAACTGACCTAACCACAGAGGCTGAGTAGCATTATTTGATCTTTACAGCCTCACGTACAGGCTGTAAACAAAGAACTCAGATGCTTGTAAGAGGCGTGGGTGTTTTCAGTCTATATGCAATACAAAAGAAAAATACAGGGCTTTAAGACGAAACATTTTGAAAACGTAAACTATACAATTATTTTTTTAAGACAGCGGAGAATCTAAACACTTTGTTTTAAGCATTGCGGAGTGTTGTGACAGTGTGTTCATGATGTAGGACCCACTCGCACCAGCACGGCTCGATCATTGAGAATTTGAAGCAAGACTGGCCTCGTGCCTACGCTATGACTGTGATCATGACAAGGTCACAAAATAAACAAAGCACAGATGTCAGAAACAGGGAGGTGGCTTTGTGCTAGTAAGAAATGACACAGTACAAGAGATTACTGTCAGAGTGAGTTTAAAGAGTGTCGGAGGGCRCAGAAAAGTGTCTCAGTGGTGAAGAATTCAGAAGCAAAAGACTTATTTGGCAAACGTCATTTTACAGTAGGGATTGTTACAAACAGAGGATGGAGGATCTGATTTTTATGAACAGAACCAATAAAGAAGGAAAGGCCAGAGGGATTACAGAACAAAAAAGATCTTGTGCTGTTTTAGTTTAATATCTCACTTGGATGCACCCGTTGGAAACTAGTTGGAAAATCAAAATTGCAAGAAAACTGTGAGAAAATAGACAAAGTCACAGTTAGAGACTCACTGGATTCTGAGGGTTTGTGACCAGGTGCCCATTGAGCTTTGTGGCCTTGTTTTGAGTGGCTCATTTTAGAAAACCTCAGCTTTTTTTTGTACACATCATCTTGCAAAACTGTATTCTAGATTGTGCCATCTTCAACACGAGATTTAGACCTGTGGTCGCATTCATAAAGCTTGCTTATGCACACAACAGGGCATATGCCACTTTTCATTCAAAGGTCTTAGCCACACTGTAATCATCACTCTCAGCCTCAAGATATTTAATTTCACTTCATAATCACACCGAACGCATATTGAGCATCTAAAACACACCCAATGCCTCAAGTTGGACAGGCTACATTCAGACCGGAACGAGACTAGACGCGCGTCTGAAGATGTTTTTTATGGGAGGAGCATCTTGGTCTTTTTCCAGTCTGTCTATAATGGGGGACGAAAAAAGAAAATGGCTTTGCTTTATTTACTGGCTGTGTCTCAATTCATARGTTGGACCACGTGGGCCACATCCTSACTGGGCCGGACATCCTCACTGGGCCGGGTAAGCTGCTCAAAACTGCGGTGAAATGAGACGGTCTACCCCTTCGCCTGATGTCGACTTCACGTGAGTTTGCGTGACCATGCGCTACCCCGTGACCATAGTGATCAGTTTCATGTCTGACTTAAATGCATCGGAATGTGTGTTTACACGTCTTTTTACTGGAAGAATAACTTAATAAGAAATAAGAAATGAAAATAAAATGTAATAATTCGGGTTTAGCTTCAGTATCTACGACGGACTATTAGGGCCATACAACAAGACTTTTTTTATT